GGGAGCAACACCGAGGTTTGCAGTCCCGTTGCCGGTCCCCGGTCCGGTACGGGGGCAACACTGAGGGTTGCGATCCGTTGCCAGACACGGAAAAAAGACAAAAGACAAAAAAAATAAAAAATAAAAAATAAAAATATCGCTATTTCTGCAGCATGGGAGATTAAATTTATTCACAATTTAAAAGCAATACTGTGTAAAGGAAAAACTCTGGACCTTTGTTTCCCATCTGTAATGAAAAGATTGAATTAGATGTTCTAAAAGTCCTTTTCATAACTAAGAATCTGTAATTTTTGTGAAAATCACATTTCTTTTGGTTTCTGGATTTCTAAATTGCTGATGATGGCAATCTAATGAAACCCTAAGAGCAGTTTAGCAATATACAGAAAAAGTCAAGTCATTTTCCACAGCAGAAATACATCTGGGTCTGTCCATAGGCTTCATAAGTTGATGCAGCTGTCAAAGTGAAGGGTTCTGGTCTCTTAAAATCATGGTTCATGTGAGTATCAATAGACTCATCTTTGAGGATAATTATCCCTGTATGATAGAGGAAACGAATCACAGTTTCCCTGAATGACAGAGCAGCTGGGGTCTAAGCTAAGAATAACACCCTCATTTTCATCATATTAAATTTGTGTTCTAGTTTTCTACAATCTCGCTTCAAATTATCTTTCTAACATTAATGTTTTGCCACTTTTTAAGTTCTTTCTTCTCTTTGGGTGGATTCATCTCATCCTTTTGTCTACCTTTTGTTTTTCCTTATCACACTTTTCTTTCCTGGGAACACCCTCTGTATTCCACCCCCACCTCCATATCTTCCTATCTAAATCATATCTGAGACCCTGCCTAACTGCTCTCTGAATGAAGCCTTTTGATTCTCTATAAGAAATGATTGCTTCCTCCATGATTGCTTCCTCTTATGGTGCTTTTTTCAGTTTTATATTTTGGCATCTCTCAGATGTTATTTGTTTACATGCTCTATTTCTCTAACAAGGCTTTATGCTAAGGAACAGCATAGGGTTATAAATCTGAATCATGTTTTTGTACCCTGCAACACCTATCACAATACCTTGTGTGGGGTGAGGCTCAATAAATAATTATGAAAATAATTTCACGGATGAGGAAATGGAGGTTCAGAGAAGAGAACTGATTTGCCCAAAGTCACACAGCTAGTTAATGACTGCATTTGGATTAGAAGATATTGCTGCAATACTTAGATGTCCTAAAGAATAAATGCTGAGGAGAAGGAAAATCTGTTACTGTCCCAATGAACAAGTATTTTTGCCAACTAAAACACATACAATATAAAGAATGTTAATTTGTCATATGCCACTAAAAACAAGTTCATCTTCAGCTTGTGGCTGTAGGAATGAGGAATCATCCATTGGACTTGCCTGTGCAGTTCACAGCTAGTGCTTGTGCCCTCAACTTAACACGCCAAGGCCTGGCTAGGGGGATGCCTGTTCGTCTGTTGTCAGAGGTCACCTGTCTACTTTTCAAGGCTCTGAAAAATTTCCCCCATTATCAGCAGGTAATTTGAATTGAATACTTTATTGTGCTTTCTAACTTCAGGACAAATATATGAAAAATATGTATTATTTAGTTCTGGTTTTTCATCCTATCAGAGAGAGAAGGAGAGAATAGATAAGGAGTTTGTGTTTGTTATTTAAAAAAAAAAAAGAGGGCCGGCCCGGTGGCGCACTCGGTGGAGTGCGGCGCTTGGGAGTGCGGCAGCGCTCCCGCTGAGGGTTCGGATCCCATATAGAGACCAGTCCGCTCACTGGTTGAGCGTGGTGCGGGCGTGACACCGAGGGTTGCGATCCCGTTGCTGGTCACGAAAAAAGACAAAAGGGGGGAAAATAAATAAATAAAAAAAAAGATGTGGAGGGCCGGCCCGGTGGCGCACTGCTATAGTGCGCCGCTTGGGAAGCGTGGTGGCGCTCCCGCCGAGGGTTCGGATCCCACATACAGACCGGCCGCTCACTGGCTGAGCGAGGGGCGGGAGCAACACCGAGGGTTGTGATCCCGTGGCC